CTGTCACAATCTCTGGGACGCTATCATATATGCACATCAGTCCTCTTATGTCTAGATCTGTTTCCTTGGAGCCAAGCACCACCTCTGCTTCTTATAATCTGTCTGCTCCGTCCTTCCACATAGATTCCTGCCTAGTCTCAGGTTCTTAGCTGCTTTATCAGTATCAGATATGGGTTCCCTCTCATGAAGTGAGCCTTAAGTAAAGTCAAAATGTGGCTGATACCTCAGTGAATCTTACAGGCAGACCACCGGGTGAGTAGCTGGCTGATATTGATGGCTACTTTGCTCCTCCAGCACCATGAGTGCTAGTCAACAGGGGTGACGCTTCTAGTTGAACATTCAATTTCTTCATGTTCAATGACTCTTCCCCCACATTTTTTGAGACAGGGTTTCTCACTGAACCTGAAGGTCACCTATTAGCTAGCCTGGCTTGTCAGTGAGACCTGGGATCCTCCTCTCCCATGTTGGGACTATAGGTGTGTGTGCCTCCATGCCCATGTAGGTTCTGGGAATCTGAACTTGGTGCCCTTGCCCTTTGGTCCACTGAGCCAGTGAAGTTTCTATGTGGTGCTCTCAGGGTCCACAGATGATTTTCTGGAAGCCTTCATGGTCCAGAGTTGATAACATCTCCTCCTAAATCGACATTGTCCCTGGGCTCACGGTTGTCTATGGAGACCCTGACTTCCCACCTGCCGTGCTTGTTTGCTGGGTTTTTCAAAAAGTTGTGTGGGCATTTCGCCCTGACTCGAGAGGCCTTGGCTTTTCTACTGTTCCATGGTGGAGTTTTCAACCTCAGCTGAAGAACCACTATGGATAGCACTCTAGCTAGGCATGGGAGGAAATGTTTTCCAGCCTTGGTTTAGCTACACTTAACTACGACAGACCCACCCACCCCACCCATGTCACTCCACTCCACACCACCTGAGGATTGCAGGGGAGGAATCCAGGTATCTGTATGTTTTACATACTTCATGAAGATTCTGATGCATGGGAAGATCTGGGAAGGTTGCCTGTGCTCTGTGCATGCCTTCAGGCCTCAGACCGTGGCTTTAAACCACGGTTCTTCCTGCTGCCAGCTTGCTTTCCTCCAGCCAAATAACTGGAAGGCCATTTTAGTGGAGTGATAATTTCCTCTGTGTTAGACCACCACTCTGCCTTCTGATGGTTTGCAATGCTAGTACATAAGAATGATTAAAAAAAAAAAATTCTGAAAGGCGAGGAGGAGCTGCCCCTGGGGGTGGCAGACAGGTGGCAGCATCCTCAGAGCCCCTGGATGACTCCTCATGGGGCTAGAGCCTGACCCACACACAGAAAATTGTTCTAGATTGAGACATGAACTTTACAAAAGACCCCACAATGCACACAGACCTGCTGTTAGAATGATAACATACAATGATCAATTAATTTCTCAGCTGTTAAGCTCCAACTAGGTCCAGGATTAGTATTGAAGCCTCACAGTGCTGTGAAGTGCGAGTGCATATGTCCCCGTCACTTAGAGCTGTGGTAACTGAAGATTTGAAAGGAAAAATAGCTCGTGGTGTCCCTAGCTAAGAGGGCCGGAGTGTAAGTCTTTCTATTCAATTAACTAGTGAACAGTAAGCATTGCCCTTTAACCATGAGGCTGTGTCGTTGTTGACAGGCCAGCACCTCTCAAGCCAGCCTGGAGACTATAGCAGAGAGCACTGGAAGGATGTTTGTTCTCTGTTTCTAAAGGGATATGAAATGAGGGCAAAGGGTGATTAAGAATTTGGTTTCTGCCTTTAGGAGATTTTTCAGGCTTGGATGGGTAGTCTGCTCTCTAGTGCCATCTGCTGTCCACATGTACCAAGTTCAGGCCAGAGTTCAATCTTTCTCCGTGTAGTGCAAGGCCATCTCACCACACTGTCAGTAACACAGTGTGCACCTCAAAGCAGAAGACCGTTTCTGTGGCTTTGAATAGGAGAGCAGTTTTCCTGCTTTTCATTTCGCTACCAGTGGGTTTCTAACCTTGTTCTAAATAGTAGCTTGTTTCCTGACTCCCAGGCAGAAGATCAAGAAGCACAGACAGCTTGATTAGTCCTGGATGCGATGTCTGCCTTGGCCTGCCAGCTAGGATGTCATTACAGTCCTGTTCTCTGTGCTGGTGTCAGGGAAGTGAGAAGCCAAGCCTGGGTGGACAGCAGAATGAAGTCCCTCGACCTTGTCAGGGGTGTGTCAACTCTGCATGTCCTCTCAGAATGGCCCAAGGGAGGCAGCAAGGCTCTGCAGACCACTGGGCACAGGGGCAATTACTGCAGTGGGTTTAGAAGAAGCGAGTGGACATGACTAAGAACTGGAATCTGGCTCTCCCATTGATGTGTCCTTGGGAAGTAATTTCTGTTTAAAACGGTTATCTCAGAAAAGTGACCCAGTGTCATTAAGGGCCCTTAGAGTAGGCTAGTCTGATATGACCAAAGATGACCTATCTGTTTGAAGGACAGAAATGTGTGTGTGGAGAGCCTGAGTTGGTCTCTGAGAGGAAATGCCCACTATGTTTGTTACAAGTGACAAAAGTGTACTGTCACCTTTTCTCTCTTGCCCCCGACTTACATCTCTCCTCCTCCCCCTCCTTTTTTCCTATGTCCTCTCCACTTCTCCCACCAGGTTCACCTACACACCGCCTTGTCAGTGCAGCCGCCTTGCTTTTTCTAAGTGTTAAGTTTCCTGGTTAAACTGGTTTCTTCACTGAAGGCTCCCCCGACCCCAGGGAATCCATAAAAACACAGATTGTGAGACACAGACTGGAAAGCAGGCAGGAGCCTCTGCTTCCTGTGTCTTAATGTACATTCTGAAGTCCTCTCCCAGCCAGATCCCTGGAACCCCTCCTAGGAATTCCCTGGATGCAGTCTGAAAAGACTGGATGCCACGTAACTTGGCAGGCTCATCAGTCTTGACAGAGTTGGAAAATTCATCTTGGTTTCGTGTGCATGCATACGTGTGTGTGTGTGTGTGTGTGTGTGTGTGTGTGTGTGTGTGTTCATGTATGTACATGTGCATGTGTACAGCCCTGGGCTGGTGTGTGCATATGCTGGTACATTTACGTGCGCATGTGTGTATGTGTAAGTGTATGTACATATGTGTATTTGTGTGTGTGCTAGTGTTGATGCTGGGTGTCTTCTCTCTGCTTATTTTTGATACAGGGTTTCTCACTAAACCCAGTGCTCACTGATTTTGCTAGGCTGATCAGCAAGCCCCAGGACCCTTTGCAGCTCCCCAGAGTTGAGACTCTAGACATGTGACATTGTGTGCAGCTTTTTACGAGGGTGCTGGGAATCAAACTCAGGTCCTTATGCTTGCACAGCAGCTGCATTGCCAGCTGATAATTTCTCAGCTCCTCTGGAGCTGCTTTAAAAAGAAGACAAAGGCTATGGGTTTCTCAGTACTTTTCTGAACTCTTTCACTCCCCGACAAGGTTATAGAAGTGGAGGAAGAACAAATGTTTGCGTACTGTACCAGATAAAATGCCAAAAGTCAGGCAAGGAGAGTTATTTCATGTACAAATAGCTTTGTGCCAAAGGAAGGAAGGAGGGAGGGAGGGATGGAGAGAGGGAGGGATGGAGAGAGAGAAGGAGGGAGGGAGACCAGAAAACAGATAAACAAAATATCTCCTGCACCTTTTGAAGACTGTAGAACAGGACTACAGCTAGGTTTTTAAGAAATCCTAAATCATCGATCTGTTTTGCTAGTATCCCATCTGATATGGCATTACTTACAGATTTTTAAAAATAGTTTTTAAAAAATTATTGAACATCAAGAGTTTATTTTATTCTCTACAAAAAATGTTCCTGGCATAGTATTTATTCATAGTGGAAAAAAATCCTTTAATTTTTTATTTATCAATTAAGTCACAAGATTGCCAAGGATCATAAGCATACATACGGTTGCAAGTAAAGAGCAGGTGCTGCTGAAGGTATGCTTATCAGTGAGGGGCTGGCTTTAGACAGCTTAGGAAAGCACAGAGTTCCTGTGCACCCCCTCTTCACACAGCACCCCACCTACAGTGATGGTTCATGTGAGGGATCTCTCTTGGAAATGTGTAGTCCATAGTTTTTGAAAAATGCATAGTGCCATATATGAAACAATTTAATGATCTATTTATTCCTCATCCTAAAATTTCCATTTCATAATACTGTTAGTAGAATTTTGCAATAAATTTTTGTGAAACTTTTGATATTAAAATTATACCCAGCACTCGGGAGGCAGAGGCAGGGGATCTCTGTGAGTTCGAGGCCAGCCTGATCTCCTGAGCGAGTGCCACAACAGCCTCCAAAGCCACAGAGAAACCCTGTCTCGAAAAAAAAAAAACAACAAAAAAATTATTCTTTTGACCAATACATATTTTTAAAATATGAAAACTTGATTGTTTTGCATTTTTATTTTTACTTTCAAAGAGGTTCAAATTTGGATGATAAATTACAAAGTCTTCATAATTATAGCCTATACCTCTGATCCCCAGAGACCAAACATTTCTCCTGGGCGTGTGACTAACAAGGAATAAAGCGACAGTGGGCCCTGTGTCTGCAGCTGCTGGGGCTCTCTCTGTACAGCACAAACGCCAAGGCAGCTCAGGCTCTAGAGTATACTGCAGCCCTGCTGCAGGAGAGTTAGGAAAATGAAATCGTTTGTGTATTTCTAACTCTGTTGTGAGACAACCCCCTGCGTAAGATAACAAACTCCATAAGGAACTGAATGGACCAAAGAAGCTAGCGATCATGAAGGGTTGGGTTTTCATAAAGTCTGATTTCTTTAAAATGTAGTACTTAAAATATGTCTTCTGTAAAAGCACATAGGTTTCCTGAGTCAGGCCACTCTATTAAGCAAGGTATGGGGGAAGCAAGTCCATTGTGCTAGCGGAATGGATTGATTCTCCACCTCCTAGAAATGGGTGCATCAGATGCTCGCCTGGTGAAACAGTCGTCATTTCAGGTGTTGGTTTTGTGTGGACAGTGTAAAGGAGCACTCGCTGCTTTTTCTCTTGCCAGGCCTCTCTATCCGGAGCGTGTGCTGGAAAGCCGACCGCCTTCTAGCTGGAACCCAAGACAGCGAGATATTTGAAGTGATTGTGCGCGAGCGGGATAAGCCAGTGCTCATCCTTCAAGGCCACTGCGAGGGCGAGCTCTGGGCTCTGGCTTTGCACCCCAAGAAGCCTTTGGCTGTGACAGGCAGTGACGACCGCTCTGTCAGGTGAGGTTCCAGCAGGCACCATACTCCATACCTTCCTTGGGATAACAGATTTATTTTGTCCAAATATGTTTCTGGTTTAAGGACAAACCACCGCATAGGAACACTTTCTGAATGGAAGCGAGGATGTTTAGTGCTCTGCTAGCTGGCCTCTTGGTGTGTTGTTGTGTCTTTTTTGGATCCATCATAAATCATGAAAATCTTTTCAGAAGTGAAAATGTGTGACTAAGACTTAGGCTGTCTTCCAGCTGTCTTTTTAGTTCTAGAGAAGAGCCAAACACACTTCTCTTTGGTGAGACAAGATTTCCCATCCATGTGCTTGCTCCTCTGCAGGAAGATTGCACAGCAATTTTAGGATTCAATTAGAGGCGCCCATTCCTCGTGAGTCCTTCAGCTCTGATTTTAAAGTTATCTTCAGGACATGAGAAAATTATTATTATTATTGTTATTGTAAATTCTGAAATGCAAATTTAGATGTCATCAAACAAAGAAGAATGCTAAAATCTGAGACAATGTGTAATTTTGTCAGGGCTTGCATTATTTGTTTGTTTGGTTGGTTGGTTTTTTGAGATAGGGTTTCTCTGTGGAGCCCTGGCTGTCCTAGAACTGTCTATGTAGACCAGGCTAGCCTCAAACTCAGAAACCACCTGCCTCCACCTCCTGAGTGCTGGGATTAAAGGCGTGTACCACCATGCCTGGCTTCATCTATTGTTCGTTTTGAGCACAAAACTGGATAAAGTGATCAAAATGTGCTTGCCACCAGAATTCTGGCAACTGTTGCACACACTTCAGACTGTACTGTGTCTGAGGAGCTTAAAGTGCTCAGCAAAGGGAGGCCATGGGAAGAGTTCATCTATTGACTGATTATTGCTTCTGAGCCTTAGAAGCTGAAATAGAACCTTGTAAACTATGCTAAAGGTCACTTCATTTTTTCTACCCACTGTGTGGGTTTATATAGCTTTCAAAGCTTAGTCTGATCAATTTTCTTTTTTAGTTTCTATAAAATGTGTAAACCTCATTAATTTCAGACTTTGTGGAAACAGTTATAGTGTCTTCATAGGCAACATAATTGTTTATTTGCTATATGTATCTCTCAACTTTGTTTTTATGTTTTTTCTTTACCCTTCGCAGAGCAGTCAAAGCACCCAAAACACTGTCCAAAGGTTAACCAAATACCTGTGACCCTAAAAGTTAACCACATACCTGTGACCCCCAAAACTTAACCAAATACCTGTGATCTGGTTTCTGTCCATCCAAAGGAAAGAGCTCAATAAGTCCTTGATTTTTATATTTTTAGAGTTGAGTCTCACAGGTGTAAACATGGCTGAGGAGCTCTGGCTGGCAGAACCTATTGTGTTCCTTCCTCAAAAATTCATTTGGCTAGACATTTGAGTGTATTTTTGCAGAACTTTGAAGTAAGAAGGTGAGAAGCTATGCTTTCTTGAGATTAGTGGCCCTAGGGGATAGCACAACTGACCACGGAGTGGTGGTGTCTTCATTCTGAAAAAGGAAAACTCACATTGCTTTAAAAAAGAAAGAAAGAAAGGAAGAAAGGAAGAAAGGAAGAAAGGAAGAAAGAAAGAAAGAAAGAAAGAAAGAAAGAAAGAAAGAAAGAAAGAAATGGTACACAGCTAAAAACAGCCTAAGGGGCACAAGAAATAGATGAGGTATTGAGAAGCTACTCTGAGCTTTCAGCTGAAGACTTTGGACTTCCTGAGGGAACAGTCAGGCGTTCACTGTGCAGCTCCTCATCCCTCCTGATGGCTGGATGCACTTAAGAAAACATGGGCTGGAGAGATGGTTCAGAGATTAACAGCACTGACTGTTGTTTGAGAGGACCCAGGTTCAATTCCCAGCACCCACATGGCAGCTAACAACTGTCTGTAATTCCAAGATCTGATACCACTACACAGGCAGGACACCAATGCACATAAAATAATGATAAACAAATTACAAAAAAAAAAAAGAAAGAAAACTGCCACGTGGGACTTACACTTACTTCAAAACTGCAAGTTCTTGGTCCTTCTTGCAGATATTTGTTGTGTATGAAGAAGCCTTCATAGGGCTAGCTCAGCAACTCAGCGGATAGAGGCGTCTGCTGCCAGTCCTTGTCACCCATGCTCAGTCCTTGGACTCACATGGTGGAAGACAAGAACCAACTCCCACAGATGCACTCAAGCATCATCATCATCATCATCATCATCATCCTCATCCTCATCATCATAGGAAAATCCCTTACAGAGGTCAACTACCACAAAACAACACAGAAGCTCTTATTTTCTCTGGTTTCACTTAGTTTGGGGTACTCTGGATTAAGTATTCTGGAGCTAGGAACCCTATAGTTAGTTTTGCCCAAAACTCTGTGAGTTGTGCTTGCCTCCTGGTCCATATTTCTCCACCAGAAGCTGTGCTTTTTGGTTACTAGCACCATAAAACATTGCCCTGCCAATAGTGGGCAAAGGCCCATCAGCAAAGGCCTGAAACAGTGATAACCATGAGTAAATTCTGGAGCTACCCTACAGAATTTATTCTCTTTATCCTATATCATTTATTCTCTTATCTAAGGTACCCCCCACCCGACACACACACACACACACACACACACATTTGTAGATGTGTGTTTCCATCTACAAATGCTTAAGTACCAACTACTTGAAAAGTGCTCATGAATGCTTTTAGTGAAACTAACAGTAACAGCATGTCCTGGCTAGTTTTATTGTCAACTTGACATAAGCTAGAGTCATCTGAAAAAGAAAGGAACCTCAATTGAGAAAATGCCTCTATAAGATCCATCTGTAAGGTATTTTCTTAATTAGTGATTGATGGAGGGGGCCTAGCCCATGGTATGTGGTACTATCCCTGGGCTGGTTGGTGGTCCTGGGTTCTGTAAGAAAGCAGGCTGAGCAAAGCCATAGAAGCAAGCTGGTAAGAGGAATCTCTCCGTGTCCTCTGCATCAGCTTCTGCATCCAAGATCTTGCCCTGTTCAAGTTCTTGTCCTGACTACCTTTAGTAATGAACAGTTCTGTAGAAGTGGAAGTGAAATAAATAAACCCTTTCCTCCCCAATTTTGTTTGGTCATGGTATGTCATCACAGCAATACCAACCCTAACTAAGACACAGCACTAGCAATTCCTACCATTGGAGCATGGTTAATAGCAATTGGCATAAATAAAGGTCAACTTCTAATTTCCAAAGACAACTGGCAAAATAGTGTCTATATTTTCCAGTTTGTGAATCTAAAAATCTCTGCAAACATAATTTCACCTCGTATTACTTGCTGGGTTTTTTTTTTTTTAATGATGCAAGTGGCCCAAAGGCAGACAAAACACTTTGGCAGATTTTCTGAGGAGCCATGGTAAAGTATGTGGGTGTGAAGTTACTATGCTCTTTATTGTTGTCGGTGTGAAGAGCAGGTTCCTACCCTAGGCTGGCAGATGGCTGAGAGGTTGGTTTGGTCTCTATTTTATCCTGTTCTTGGTCCTTAGGCTGTGGAGTCTGGCTGACCATGCCTTGATTGCTCGGTGCAACATGGAGGAAGCAGTCCGTAGTGTCTCCTTCAGTCCTGATGGATCTCAGTTGGCCCTGGGCATGAAGGATGGCTCTTTCATTGTTCTCCGAGTCAGGTACACTCAATACTGAAAATGGTACTCTGAGATGTTCCTTTGTTAAAAACTAAAGAGTATCCTGGTCATAAAATATGTCACACTGTTAGGAAACTCTTTACCTGTGATTCTCAAATCCTAAACTTTGAAAATTCAGATGTCTTTGTTTAACTATTTAGATGTAGAACCTAACCCAGTGACCTGATATGAGTTTGCTTATAGTCTTCAGTCTCTTCACAGAAATAACATGCTGTATGACTTGCTGTTTTTCGTGGAGGGTGCTTCCCCAGCCAGTACATTTAGGAGTTCCTCAACATGTTGCTATAGAACTTTGTAAGATCCAAGTGAGAACCAGAGGATCTCTGATCCCAGGGGCTTGAGGCAGTCAGCTTTGAGCTCTGTAGATAAGCCAGGAAAAGAAGAAGAAATAATAAAGCAGCACCCAACAACACTAAACTCTTATAAGTAAACTTGAATCAGAGATTTCATTCATAGAATTGGTACAGAATTGAAGTATTCACTGCCTGCTTGCTGACATCCTGTACTGTTTATATTGGACAAGAACTGCCACTCTCCTGTGGAATTTGCTATGATTTCATAATCACAGCAAAGAAGTATAGATGTCAATGAATGATGCATGTTTTATGTGGAGAAAATACTGTACAGTGTCGGGTGCTCTTAGCACAATTAGTAACTCTGAATTCACATTACCACCCACACATAACTCATTACCAAATTAGTGGGCAATGTTTCTATTCACTGCTGACTGACTGACAATAAGGTAGTTAATTACCAAATTTCCTTTTTGATAGAATTCTCAAGTGCAAACAAAAGAAAAAAATATACAGTTATTTTATGTTGTTAGAGTACAGCATAGTGCTGTGGTAAATGATAGCAGGTGTAGGGGAGTTACGTGCAAGCCAGTGCATGCTGCTGTTGGATTCATTCAGTTTGTTTTAGAGTTGATGAAGCCATCTTCACTCACTCAGGGCTCCTGAGTCACAATCCTGTCTCCTCGTTAGAAGGGAAAAGCAACCCCAGTGAGCTCTCAGATGCAAACAGAAATTAATCTTAACAGAACTTGGCAATTCCATGCTCACGTGGATAATCAAACATCCAAGAATGTATGGTCGCACAAATTGCACTTGATGGGATTTAAAAAAAAGATGAGACAAAGTCAGGAGATGGGTCTGGATTTGGGAGAAGAAGGTGAATATGATCAAAACACATTGCACGAAATTCTCAAAGAATTAAATTTAAAAAAGAATTTGACCAAAAAAGGTCCAAAATGTCTAGTGATTCAGCATGTTCATTATGACCTTTCATGCTGAGAATGAAGTGATTGTATAACATTTTGACATTTAAAAGGTGGTAATTTTCTTCTTTTAGACTCCTTCCTTTTAAATAGCAATAAGCATAATAGTTGGTTTATCTTTTCTTTTTTCTTCTTTTGAGACAGGATCTCACTCAATAGCCCTGTCTGGCCTGAAACTTGGTCTGTAGATGAAATTGCCTTCAGCTCTTGGAGATCTACCTGCCTTTGTCTTCCAAGGCTGGGATTAAAGGCGTGTACCACCACATCTGCTCTCATTTATATTTCAAACATAAACAGGTGGCTTATTTTTACACTAATTTTAACATGTTTTGCCTTTCTCTGTTGCATATTTTAAAGTTACTTTTAACTCTAGTTTTTAAAGAAATTTCCAAAAATATATAGTTGAACATGAAAGCAAATATTCTTTGTGTTAAAGGTTTTTATTTTTACCCTGAGGGCACAAAATATTATTTTAAATGTTTGTTTTAATTTTTATAAGCAGGGTATAAATTATAAATATATCATATTTTTCAATGAAAATAAATCTTTTAATCCATATGGGATCATTCTGTTTTATGACACACATCTTTTAAAATGAGATTTGGGTTTTTATGTTTCTTGATTTTCTGATTGTCCCTTTGTGTTTTATTCCTATAGAGATATGACAGAAGTGGTCCATATCAAAGATAGAAAAGAAGTCATTCATGAAATGAAATTTTCCCCAGATGGTTCTTACCTCGCGGTAGGATCCAATGATGGCCCTGTGGATGTCTATGCTGTTGCCCAGCGGTATAAGAAAATAGGAGAATGCAACAAGTCCCTTAGTTTCATCACCCACATCGACTGGTCTCTGGATAGTAAATACTTGCAAACCAATGATGGCGCTGGGGAGAGACTGTTCTACAAAATGCCATGTGAGTCCTAGGTAGATGATTATGCTTATGTAGATGCTTGTGAGAAGCAAACTTGGAACCTCATGGAAAAATATAAGAGAATGTCCTATGACCTCAGGGTAAAGAATGCTTCCTGAGACAAGATCCCGAAGTCATGGTCCCTCAGAGAAAAGGTCAACAAGTTGGGTCACACTAAAAATGTTAAAACATTTGGAAAATATGAGTAAACTTTAAAGATGAAGCTTACAGTGGGCATAAATAACTGTGGGCACAGTATACAGAGAGCAGCACTCAAGGTCCATTTTAATTATCTAGTCTGGCAAAGCCTGCCAATATTACATGGTGAAAGAGGAGAACAAACGATGCACAGTGCTGTTAAGAACATGCATGGAAATGTTTGCTGTAGAAAACAAAACTGTGGCAGAATTCCTAAGTGGTCATGGCTGTGAAGAGAATCTATGCAGCAGAAGGATGGATTCTGTCTTCGTATCCATTCTGTTAGACTGTGTCTTTTTATAGGTGGGTTAAGACCATTAATATTGAGGGATATTAATGACCATAGATTGTTCATTCTTGTTTGTTTTGGATTTCTTGGTGGTGGTGGTATTGTGTGTGGATTTTCACACCCTCCCCCCATTTTTTTCTTTTAGCTGTTGGTAAACTGAGATTATCTATTGCCTATGTTTTTCTGGTTGTAATTAACTTTCTCGGGTTGGAGTTTTCCTTCCAGAACTTTCTGTAGGGCTGGACTAGTAGATATGTATTGTTTAAATCTGTTTTGTCATGGAATATCTTGTTTTCTCCATCTATAGTGATTGAAAGCTTTTCTGGGTATAGTAGTCTGGGCTGGCATCCGTGGCCTCTTAGTGTAGGTAGAATATCTATATATCCAGGACCTACTGGCTTTCAGAGTTTCTATGGAGAAGTCAGGTGTAATTCTGATAGGTCTGCCTTTATATATTATTTGGCCTTTTTCCTTTGCTCCTCTTAATATTCTTTCTTTATTCTGTATGTTTGGGGTTTTGATTATTATGTGGCAAGGGGACTTTTTTGTGGTATACTCTATTTGATGTTCTGTAAGTTTCTTGTACTTTTATTGGCATGTCTTTCTTTAGATTGGGAAAGTTTTCTTCTATGATTTTGTTGAATATGTTTTCTGTGCCTTTGAGTTGGGTTTCTTCAGCTTCTTCTATTCCTATTATTCTTAGGTTTGATCTTTTCACGATGTCCCATATTTCCTGGATATTTTGTCTTAGGGATTTGTTAGACTTAAGATTTTCTTTGGTTGATGAATCTATTTCTCCTAGTATATCTCCAGTGCCTGAGATTCTCTCTTCCATCTCTTGTATTCTGTTGGTTATGTTTGCATCTGATCATTTAGCCCACTTTTCTATTTTCAGCAGGTAGAAGCTCTTGCTATGCAAGCCTGGTGACCCACAGAGAGTGGAAGGAGAGAATTGAGTCCATCAATTGTCCTCTGATCTACATACACACAGACCCCACAATAATAGTAACAAATGATTTTGTAATTCTGCGATAAAGGCCAGTAATACTCATTGAAACTTGGTGCTACAAGAACTTGTTCCCTATAACTGAAATATTTCATCACTTTATGAAACAGATAACCATGAGCTTCCAAGGGTGTGGCGTCCTCGGCTGCTTAGTTCCATGTCAGGCCTAGTGCTTCATGAGCCTCTCCTGCTTCCCCGTTCCTGCTTTGCCACTTGCATTGTTGGTTGACACATTTCTCAAAAGGCAGTATTCTGTGCTGTCACAAAATCCACTGGTCCTTGCTGAGTGAGAGGCCATGGGTCTTGCCTCATGGAGACCTGTTGGACAAGCACTCATATGCTGATCTGAAACTAGGCCACATGGCTCCCAGCAACCTTTGAAAGCCCAAAGTATCTCATGTTTATTTTAATGTCTGCAAACTGGCTATAAATCTTAAGTATTTTATATTCCTCTTCAAAAGTTAAAACTTTTCATTCCTACAGAGTTTCTCTCTTTCTATCCTATACTTTAGGTATGTGACCATTAGGCAAACAACTTCTGCCAAGATCCAAAGGAAGAGATGGTCTGTTGGACCCTTAGGAAGAACAGCCACAGACAATTAGAGACAGTCTCTTAGGTCAGTTAGGAGCCTTTAGACAAGGGCTGAGGCCTCAAAGTCCTTCTGTTATAAGCTCTCATCTTATTTCCAGTGTGCGCACTAGTCCAGGTGGTGCAGCTCCAAATGCCACTGCCACTGTGAGATTGTTTGCTTCCTCTTCTGAGTCACTTTGGGGATGCAATCCCTCAAGCTGGAGCAGGTCACAGACAATGCTCCAAGTATACCCTCTCTGAGTCTGTGGTCACTTAAATGCATTCTTTTAGAATAGTGTTACAGTCCAGAATTTTGGAGTGCCACTTTGAAAAGGTGTCTACTCTTCAGTTCTTTATTTGAAAATATATGCATCTTTTAATAGAGCAAGCATCAGGATATATGCTTAATTTTATTGATTTTGGATGTTAAAATGGTGTCTGTTGAATATTCCCCATGTGTTTGCTTTTGTGGCTTGCAAATGTGAAGCTCAAAAATCTGCTGGTGGGCATGGAAACTGAGTCCTGTGTCTGGGAGCAGACCCACAGCAGCTGTCCTGACCACTTCCCACAAACAATTATACCCAGTTCACCTTAATTCTATGGCTTCAGTGACTAGAAATTAAATAATAAAATCCATTTTAAAATTTGTAGAGCCTGAATTTTTGTTTAAAATGGAAATCCCTGTGTGGCTGGAGAGGTGGGTCAGTGGTTAAGTGTGCTTGCTGCTCTGGTAGAAGGCTTGGCTCCTAGTATAGTCAGGCAATTTACAGCCTTATGCAGCTTGGCCAGATCTGATACCTCTGGCTCCTTTCGACGCCTGCATTTCCATGCAAATACTCACATACAGACATATATTGTACATAGAATTTAAATCTAAAAAAATGAAAAAAAAATTCAAACATCATTTGTAGGCTGGTGAGGTGGCCCTGGCTGCTGAGATCTCAAATAAATTGATTAAAAGAGCATGTGTAATGATGCTAAAACTATGAAAAATAAAGTTCAAGACAAACTTAGTCAAGGTTTTAAAAGCAAAATGTTGGTGACTCAGTGTTGACAACATATAACTTAAAGACGTCATATGAGAGGGAGAAGGGAACTGGGATCGTCATGTAATTCAATCTTGTTTGTAATTCAAATATATCATATGAATATAAATCCACTGTCATAGCAGGTGTCTTGGTAATTAAGATCAAGGAAGTAAGAATAGTTTTAAACATTACATTTAACATATTAGTCATTTACTATTCTCTTTACTTCTGAACTCTGAGCTGATGTTTTCTTTAAATCCTTCCCTCCCCCACCAAAACAGTAACTAACTGGGTGAAGAAATTATAACTTACAGTTCTTCCGATTTATATGTTTAATGATAGTTTTAGACACTGCAAGGAAAGAAAAATGTTTAAACAACTTTAGAATATGCTTGACATGCAAATATAACATCATATTGACTGTTTCAGCGGGGAAGCCTTTAACAAGTAAGGAAGAAATCAAAGGCATTCCCTGGGCCTCCTGGACGTGTGTGAAGGGCCCTGAAGTGACTGGGATCTGGCCCAAATACACCGAGGTTATCGACATCAACTCAGTGGACGCCAATTACAACAGTTCAGTGTTGGTGTCTGGAGATGACTTTGGACTGGTCAAATTGTTCAAATTTCCTTGTCTGAAAAAAGGTAAGGCTGAAGAGATGCTTCTCTGGGTAGACTTTCTCTGGATTCTATATCCTGTGTAGTTAGGCGGGTTTCTTACCTCCTCACCAGACACTCCATTTCCTCTCCTCTACATTTATTCTTCGCCCATTTTACATTGAATGTGCTGTTGAACTCTTCTACTTTTGCTGTCCTATGTGAGTTTGCAAACTTAAGTCAGAATTTGTTAAGAGTTAATATCATATGACTTCTAAGCCTGTGTTCCACATATCTGAACAGTCCTATGTTACTTACGTTTATGAGAACAAATATTCCTCATTTATATTGTTTTTTTATTCCTTTAAAATACTATATTTTAACTTTTTATTTGTTGTTGCTTTGTTTGTTTGTTTTTCAAGACAGGGTTCTCTGTGTAGCTCTGGGCTTCCTTGAATTTACTCTGTAGACCAGGCTGGCCTTGAGATTACAGAGATGCACCAGCTGCTGCCTCCTGAGTTTCTGGGATTAAAGGCATGCACCATCACCTGGCTATATTTTAACTCTTCATGTGAGCACATACTTGAACTTATACATGAAAAGCAATTCTTCTTAAACATGATTAAATAAAAATGATGACAGTTCTACAACTATGGACCCCTTTTCATAGAACTAGTTTTGCAAGACTTTTTTTAGAGAGAAATAGGACTGAAAACAACTTTCCTTATACTCAGGTTTTGCACTTCTATGGGACCATTTTAAACTTAGAAGACTGATTGGAGTCACCATGTAATGATCCTGTGCTTGCTTTGCAAACTTAGAGAAAGCTCCTCTCCAGGCTCTTCTCACTCCTCCACTATGCCCCGAAAGCTGGATTTTAGGAGAGCAATCACAGGGATGCATTGCTGCCTGCAAACATTCACTTGAATGATTTTTCAAATAAAATAGGGAAGAGAATGAAACATGCAATCACAAAGTCATTTTCAGTATCAGCAGATTTGAAACAGTGACAATTACAGGACAGAGTAGAACATAGCATGCATAGAGAACCACCATGATTTGCACAGAACACAATGGTCGTCAGCTCAAAGTGCTTGAAGCACAAAAAGACTGCAATGTGCCAAATTCAAATCCACTCCACCCTGCCTAATGAATTTCATGGGTAACAGGGCACAATTTGTTTAAACTAATGTTCATTTGAGAGTAAGTTGATTACGTTAGAAAGTATCTAGGGATGCAGAATTCAGGAAATTCACCCATGACTGTTACGATAAATCTTTCCACCTAAGCCACCGAGCCCCACCACCACATGTGCGCTTTACGCCAGCTGCCCGCCCGAGTTATGGCCCAAATTAATACACAGAATCTTGTATTAGGTTCAAATGCTGCTTGGCCAATGACTAGGATTCTCGTCTGTTAGCTCAGTCTTAATTATCATAAATCTATATATTTTATAAGACTTATCTTATAGAGGATACCTTTTGCTGGCACCCTCTCTTGCCAGTGGCTCACATGGCGCCACTGGAGGAGGAAGGGGAAAAGGGACACTTCCTGTTTCTCCTTGCTCAAATACAAGTCTCCTTGCTACGTCACTTCTGGCCTGAATCACCACTTCTTTACTACATTTCCCAGAATCCTCTTTGACTCCTAGTCCTGTCTAACTTGCTGTCTCATTGGCCAAACAGAACTTTATTAAATAATCAATAAGATAAACATACACAGAAGTACTTTCCCCATCATCTCCTCTTTTCTGTGTAAATAAAAAGAAAGATAACTTATCTTTTATAATAACTGAAGAAAACTATAACCATAACTATCTGTCTTCAACTCTATCAAAGACCACAGAAAGAAAATATATAAACTCTAGAATTGACAGGACATCTTGCTACCTGGACAGTCACCCAAAGTTCTCTGTAATGTTGGAGCATCCATCTTTAGCCTATAGGCCATAGTGTGTCTGGCACACTTCTCCATTTCAACAGAAACCCTTCAGTACTGTCTTGTTTTATAAGTTCAGCAATCATTTTCTTGTGGGTCCTGCATGTCCAGTTTATAGAGCAACAAACAGTCCAGGCAAGAGCAGTTTCTTGCCCAAATGGCTAATCTTGCCATGTTGAAGGCAAAATCCATAACGAGTTTCTTCGATGCTCAACTTTTCTGACATAATTGGTGTGCCAGGAGCAGTTGTGTCTCACTGTCATAAAGAGCTCTAAACCATTTAAAATGCTTATATTTCTATAGGTCTTCGAAAGGTTTGAAGAATACCTATCCATCTCAAATACATCTCTGTATATCTAGAAAACCTAACTAACCTAATTATATG